GCAGATATGATTCTTCCATACGCCCGCGCGAATCGCAATGGTCGAGAGGCTGCTGCTGTTTATCGTCGCTTTGATGAGAAAGGATCCATGGCACCAAAAACTATAGATCGACGAAAACCGATTGTACATTTAACAGACTATACCCTACATTTTAAACTTAATAACATTAAAATAAGGATTTTTGTCCTTGGTTTCATATGTGGAACACGCTCACAAAGTTTGTGAAAGTGTTTTTGATACACTCTGTATATATATATATATATATATATATATATATATGTATATACAGAACTAACATTTACAAATTCAAATGCCCCTTTAGAAACTGTGTTTCTGATTAGATTAAACTGATAAATGACTACATTGGTCACACTCCTACATGCCTATCTAGACGACTTACCTTGCACCTACCCAACGATATCTCCATTAGGAATCATTTAAACACACATAACAAAAAAAACTACCAGAATCTATCCGAAACATTCTAGCAGGTAATACAATCAAAATAGCTTCATTCACAGGTAAATAAAAGATTAAAAATAATGTTAACCTTAATAATAAAAAGGAAAAGCAAACACTCAGTAACAATAACTGTGAACACGGCCACAATGTCCTGACCGTGTTCAGAACATAATAAATTCCAATAACTTCAGACACATATTTAGTTAGAAATTAAAATTACCCTTGATAATGACTAAAAGAATAGCCGAAAGCGCGTGAACATGCAGAACTTTTCCATGGGATTTACACAGTTTTGTTCTAGAAAGAGAAAACACTTGTACGAACACAAGAAAATTAAATAAACATCTTATAAAGCTTGTCAGTCGTCTTTAATGAAACATGTATAAAATAGGGATTGCTGCCTGAATATACACACAAAACACACAAAACACACACACGCATATATATATCTATATAAATATATATATATATATTATATATATATATATATATATATATATATATATATATATATATATATATATATATATTTGTCTATTTTTCCCGAAATTAAAGCAACTATACGGAGGTATCTGTTATACTTAACAATATATATATATATATATATATATATATATATATATATATATATATATATATATATATAGTGTAGCAGCAAAATTGTTCAAATCCTGTAAAAACAAAATGGGTCATTTGTTAAGCTTTGAACCGTCGTATCTTAGAAATGATTAAAGATATCTTACTGGAATTCTCCGCGGCTTTTATAACACCATTGGACTCTACTTTGACGAATAAGAATTTATAATTACTTTCCAATCTTAACAAATATTCGTGATGAATTCGATCATAAAGGAAAATGACCTGTCCATCATTAATTTATTATAGCAAAGGATCGAAATCTCATGATGGATTGAAATAATGTTCAAATATATATTTATTCTAAACTATTCAAGATGATTTTCACACACTTTAACCTTTTAACTTTCTGTCCTGGACTTACAAGGAAATTCACAGGTTTCATATCCACTTTCATTTTCCAGTCTTTTTTCACTGCACTGTCGTAGCTGAAACTCCTCTCGCATGTACCAAATGGCTTATGAGTTGAGTTGGATCTTTTCTAATTGATTTTTTTAGCTCTTAGTTGAAATGATGACCGCTCTTTCTTTTGTGACCTCCTGATCCAGATTTTCTCTCTACTAATTTAAAAACTTATTCACAGTCCACTTGTTGGCTTTTGAATGGACTTTGAAGGTTGAAGCCAATTTATGAATATTGGTACCAATACTGAAGATCTGAATGATCTTTTTCCTCCCACCATTGATTAGTATGTGTGACAGTATGGCTGACAAAATGATTTTAACCTGTTCTCTATCTAGCTGAATAACTCAAAGGGTTTTTCCATGATTCTTTCGACAAATGGGGGTTAAGCGACGTATCTGAAAACCGGGAAAAAAGGAACTCAATTAATTTAGTGGATTTTTAGATATTAAACATTTTTTGGAATGGACAATTATACTGTTACGCGATTTGGAGAATTTTGCTCTTACACCTGGCATAGATATATCTATATCTATCTATCTGTCTGTCTGTCTCTCTCTCTCTCTCTCTCTTCTCTATATATATATATATATATATATATATATATATATATATATATATATATATATATATATATATCATTGAATACGACAAACAAAAGGTGCTTTTTAGTTTTTTATACAATTTTTCATGCGATCTAATTTTTTTTTTCTTTTCGGATGATAAATTATATAAAAACTGTCCGAATGTTCTTTTATCCGAGCGCTTTCGGCTATACATTTAGCCATTTTCAAGGATTAAATATTTTAGCTGTTAAATAAGAAATAGTTTGTTATATGTATGTTTTATAAAATGTTATTTTTAACTATATGGTTAGAAGTTTTAAATATATATATATATATATATATATATATATATTTGAAAATATTCTTACAGGTAGAAAACCTTCAAATGATATGCAGAGTGTGACTTCGCCAGAATGGAAAAACAGTCAACACTCAAACCAGCAACACATTCCCTGCTAGTTATAGCGTGTTCCGCTATAGATGACCCGGATGTATTCACTAGTTGGCTGCGTGTCAAACATGTAGTGTGTCCTACATAATTATTTAATTATTTATTGCAAAAAATTAAAACCTCTAACCTTATAGTTAAAAACAATAATTCACTTCCTAGAACAAAATTAAATAGGGCAAATATTATTTACGAATTTAAATGCCCATTAAGGAATTGTATTCCTGATCAATCAAAATTCGTAAATAATTATGTAGGCCACACTACAACATGTTTGACACGCAGAATCAAGCTACGCCTTTCTGACTATAGCTCAATTAGTTCTCATTTAAATATTCATGGAGACCTACAGGACACTATTCGTAATATACTCGTTGACAACACTTTAACTTTGAACATGGACACACTATCTTGACCGTTTTTTGAAAAATGAAAACTTTTTATAAAATATACATACAACAAACTATTTCTTACTTAACAGTTTAAATATTTCATCATTGAAAATTGCTAAATGTAATAGCCGAAAGCGCTCGGATAAAAAACCCCCAAAAAACAAAAATATTTGGACAGTTTTTATATAATTTATAATTCGAAAAGAAAAAATTATTAGATCGCATGAGAAATTGTATAAAAAACTAAACAAAAGCACCTTGTCTGTCGTATCCAATGAAATGTGCATGAAAGAAGGAATGCTGCTTAAATACACAAATATATATATAAATATATATATATATATATATATATATATATATATATATATATATATATATATATATGGTGGTACTTGCTTGAAAAACCTTGGATAGTTCGACTTGTAGTAGAACAATTCAGTACCCACTGAAAAATGAGGAATAATAAAAAAGAAAGAACCAAGAACATAAAACTAAGGCGAAAAAATTCCAAAGAAAAAAAAAACCCTAAAACGAGTAAAGGCAACAACGTAAAGTGCTCAATACACGAAGTAGAGCAAACCTAATATAATCCTAAGGAGCCAGGCAAACCTACCTAGGTTTCACCTATACGGATCGTCAGGGTAATACTGGTCAGTAGTGCTCTGATGATCCCTTTTGATGAAACCTAGGTAGGTTTGCCTGGCTCCTTGGGATTATTGTGATGTCAAGTAGAATTTTTACCGTGAGAACATATCAGAAGAAAAAGGCATCTGTCCATCTTAGATAAGTGAAGAATTTAGTTATGACGTGTTCAAATCATGTCGATGATGAAATTTTGGAAGAACTCTCCCGATATATTTGCATAACAGAGTCAGGTAAATCTTGTCAGAAAGCGTGCCAGAGAAACTACATAACAGAGGCCGACCTGTAATAAGGCTGAATATTTTCCGGTGTGTAAACTTGCTGAAAATCGGAGAGCTGAGTTCGAATTCCAGTCGAGTTCGTTGCATTCACTTACGCACATATAACCTTGGGAAAGGCATGAACCATATCTTCTCCCCCACCCCACTGCCAGCTATGGGTCGAATAGCAGTACAGATTGGTTGGCAACTAGACTTCCGCAGAAAGAAATGGCAACCTACTGCAGGAAAAATCTACCTAGTAGGTCATGAATCGAAAGAGACATGATTGACCAAGCGTGTATCACGTATGGCACTTAATTGACTGAATCTTTTTGGTGACGCATGTAAAAGTCTCTTGGCTGACAAATGGTGTTATACTTGATGCACCAGGACAACGTGCGCCATTTTCATTTGGTTAATGAGATTATGAACCCAAGGAAGTGTTCAAGGTTTTTCACTAGAGAAAGGTTAAGATTGATTGGACCGTCATTGAATTCTCGAACACGCACGCCTACAAGACCGGATGCCCTTATGAATCTTCCCTTTTCCCCGTACTCATTCGCCAGTCGTTCCTAAGGGCATTGATTAGTATTATTCACGTCAACTTCGCCATCTCTTAGTCTAGGGCCCAATTAGCACGTTGTAAGACCTTTACCAGTTCAAGGGCTATACCACTCCGGAAATACTAGCCGCCTTTTAACAAGTTCTGAACGTTAAGTAGTGAGATGGGATTTGAAATAGAATATTAAATGTTTACTTTTCATGAAAAATTGCATAGATATTCTTCAGATATAGGTGGGGAAAGAAATTGCAAATAATTGTGTTTTTCGATTCTGATTATGTGCATTTTGAAGTTTTGTTGGGGGGAGTTTTACCGGAAGAATTCGGTGTTGAAAACTATAAGATCTATAAAAAGTTTTTATTTTCCTGATTTAAGTTCTTATTCCTGATAATTGAAGGTTGAAAAATTACTCTTTAGAAATAATATTACAAATAACACATTGTCCTGCCTTGTGGATATTGAAGAATGTGTCAATCTTCTAACGGTAAAGCTGGAATTTAAATGCCGAATTAAAAAAAAGAAGATATATTTAAAACAATATGATACTGTATAATCGCAATGAAATCAGTGTCTCGACCAATGGTTCGCAAGCGGCGCGGCGTTCCTCACAGGTGCGGCGCAAGAGGATACCAAGTGAGACAGAAGAGGATAGCAACTGAGGCAGAAGAGTATAGCAGGTGAGGCGGAAGAGGATAGCAGGCGAGGCAGAAGAGGATAGCAGGAGATGCGAAAGAGTATAGCAGGTGAGGCGAAAGAGCATAGAAGGTGAGGCGAAAGAGGATAGCAGGTGAGGCGGAAGAGGATAGCAGAAGATGCGAAAGAGGATAGCAGGTGAGGCAGAAGAGGATAGCAGGCGACGCGGAAGAGGATATCAGGAGATGCGCAAGAGGATAGACGGCGAGGCAGAAGAGGATAGCAGGTGAGGCAGAAGGGGATAGCAGGTGAGGCGAAAGAGGATAGCAGGCGATGCAGAAGAGGATAGCAGGTAATGCGAAAGAAGATAACATGTGAGGCGGAATGATTGCAAGACAATCAAAGATTTAGGAATAGTTTCGAAATATTCATATGCCAAAAATAAATAGGATTTCAAAATTTAAAGAGATATTATGGATTACTTGTAGTTGTAGTTGCAAGCATGACTCCCAGTATACATAGTTATAAATATTTATTAACCAATTTTATCATTGTGATATTTTTACATTATATCAAGCAATATGAATATAGTAATTAGGTCTGCAAATTGGAGGAGAGAGTTATCATGATTATGTCCTGATATCAAATCAGCGGTTTCCTCCTTTTAACCCGTTCTCTGTTTTTGTTTTATAATGTACTTTCTATCACATAAAATTTGGTAAGTTGTAGTAAATTTTATTCCGAAAACGCACCCCACCGCCAAAGTTTTGGAACCACGGGTCTAGTCCAATGGCAAAACCAGACTTAATCTTTCATATTTAAGATTAATTTTTTATTTCATTCCAGTCGTTGCTGTCCACCAATGTACGTGTGTGTACCACACTGCGGAACATTCGTTTGATCGTGGACCTTAAATTCTCGTTAACGATATTCGATAGACTGCCCATCTCCTCACTCGGACATATTTTTAATGGGAGTAGATTGGTTTGCCTATCGTCTAGTTCGCACTCTTCGCTGGTCTTTTAAACCAGATTAGAGCTTTATCCCTTGTTTCCGGTTTAAGATTGGGCTTCCGGTTTCTTTTAATGTCTACTTCAACATTATACTTCTAACGTCTCCGCCATCGCACTGAAACTTTATTTACTTTCTATTTTTTAATTTTAATCTTTATTCATTTCATCCTAGGTTTCACACATCTTTTAAACAGGAGTAGAGGTTTATCCCTTGTTTCTTGTTTAGGATTGGACTTCCGGTTCATTAAATCTTTTTATTCTCTTTCACGTTCCATTCGTCCCTTGAGTCTTAGTGGCATTATCGCCTTGCTTGAGGCTGATTGTTTAAAAAAATATTAAAAAGTTTATTTATAGCTATGTGGGCGACGGTCTTTTTCCACGCTCGCAAAACCAAATGCTGCTTTAAGATCACACACTATTCTGCATTCCTGATCGAGAGATCCACTCAAATCAACCGTGGACTTTGAGATCTTGGTTTGTAATTGAGTGAAAATTATATCCTACCTTATTACTTCACGAAATTAACTGAAATTACGTGTAATGAGTCTCATACGATTTTGCGACTCGGATTGAGAAATCGGAGAGCCGAGTTCGAATTCTGGTTCGCTTGCGTGTTAATACCCTTAGGAAAGGATTAATTCATTTCTTCTATCCTAAGCTATGGTTAAATAGCATGACAGACTGAGTTCTATAGCCTTGCGAAACAACCGGTCTAGGAGAAGAGAAAAACTCTCAATTCAAAACTGTATGTCGCCCTGGCGATTGTTGGCATTGATTCGATGATCCTGACTAAGATCGACTATAAGTTTGATTCACACATCCAATAACTCTTATAATTTGCCATAAAATCATTTGTTAGGGAGTAATCGTCACATTGATTCACATTTGGGAGAGATATGAATCTATCTCATCTCTCTCCAGCTGTGTGTTGAATAGCAGGAGAGACTGTGTCTTAATAATAATAATTCCTTTTTTAAAACAATAAAAATTGCCGAAGAGTGAATGTAGTCAAAATATTAGCGGTGCCATGTTTTTTTTTTTAAGTTTTATTGCTGATGCGTTTATCTATGTTTGCCCAGTTTTTTTTTAATTAAAATCTGTCGCTCAGCATTTGTACCAGAAGTGCTAACAGACGAGAAGCTATGAACTAAGGGAAAAAAAACAAATCTACACAAATTGTCAGAAGTACGCATGCGTATGATTTTTGAAATTGATGATGCCTTGAATTTGCTGCCGATACTTGTTTGATTATTTAGATATTAATTTCCCAAATGTTCAATAATATCACATTGTCTTGTGATGACTCATCCTACAGATTTCTGTCTAGAGTTTTTCGCATTTACTTTGTTTCTGGAACATTTCCAAAGATGTTTTTGTTATCGGCTAGGTCTGCAGCATCTATCAGGAAATAGATGTTTTCAACATGAATTTTCAGGATTATTATTGGTCGATTTGCCTGGAGGCCATTATTCGGCTTAACGCTGAGGACGATAACCTCTCAATTCTGTACTACTTGTGACGGTTGGGTTCCCGACAATTCTCTTTCCATGGGAGGTTAAAATCGCAAACCAATGACCAGTGTGTGTACTATTATATCTTTGGCGCCTGTTGACCACACCCATATTTTATGTTGTCAATTCTCTGGATGTTCTCAACATATGTTCTAGAATGGGCTGCTATTAAGTTTCAGAATATTAAATTAGTAATTTCTGGTGGTAAGACACTGATCTTAACCGGTAATTGTGAACCTTCTACTCTCTGATTGGCGACTAGAGCCTGCCAATCACTGATAGATAAGTTCTTGATATAACAGGGTTAGTTGGTTTTTACAATGTATTTATTATAGGTTATAGATTTTGTTGTATTTGTCCACGTCTTTTTAATGTCGGTTTGTTTTACTGCATATTTGTTTTGCTTCACATACATTTTCGAATTTTCCACTTTGTCGCATCATCTGCGCGCGCGCACACACACACACACACACACACACACACACACACACACACACACATATATATATATATAATAGAATTTTGGTGATTTAGGCAAATCATTATAGCATAGTTTAGGAGAATCCTCAACAGAATGCAGAAAGCATCGGGCAGCCGTTTCATTCTATTTTTGGGACTCATCAGCAGTACGCATCCACTACCGAGATTCGAACCCGAACCGTTTCGATACAACGTAAGCGTCATACCAACGGTACAAACGGGCCTGACTAGACTCGATATAGCGCCGCTACTCACAAATTCCGTGGTGATACTCATCCAAGTATTCATAACCCAACGGATTGTGCCCCAAGAGACACAACTTTCCTATATATATATATATATATATATATATATATATATATATATATATATATATATATATAAAAAAAAAACAGACCACTTTAAGGTTCCATTATAATAATTTATTTCACAAGAGCCCTTTTAAAGGAGGCCGGATCATCAGATAGCACTTCCAAAAATGAAATGAAACGATTGATGGGTAGTGTAAGTTTTAGTATATATATATATATATATATATATATATATACACGTGTGTGTGTGTGTGTGTGGTCTGGTGCTACTATTGCCTTGGGCTGAAAGTTTATATATATATATATATATATATATATATATATATAGAGAGAGAGAGAGAGGGAGAGAGATCATTTAAAGTTGCATAAAATATGTGTTAGGAATTTTTTGTGCATCTGCTCTAGAACGAGCCTTTTTTTTTACGGTCACATTAATTTGAAACACGTTAAACAACGTCGATTTTGGTGACCCACACATATATGAGTGACTGATTGGATGTGCGGTCGGGGTAACGGATAATAACTCGGAAGTATTAATCGGAGAGATGAATTTCAATTTCAGTCGGATTCATTATATTCACTCACGGGGAATTACTCTTGGGAAAGGTCTGAATCCACCTTTAATCCTCCAGCTATGGAGTAATTATTAGGATTTGCCTCACAAAAAAAAGCCAAAAAAACATTATTATTATCCCCAAATGAAAAAGAAATATTAAAGTTGCATGCAAAATATTTAGATTTCAGCATTAAATAACCCATAGGGGTTGATATACCGTCAAACAAAATCAAGCAACCAACAAACCAACCCAAGGATGTTTTTTTTTTTTTTTTTTTTGAGAGCACCTTTTTTTTCGTACCCTTGCATGTCTTAGGATGCAGCCGTTTGTTTCAACCAAGGAAAATGACGAATAGTTGCAGTATCCACCATTAATTCTTGGAAGCTACAAACGGTCAGTGTCTGATGCACTGTGAGAAGATTTCGTATTTTGGCATCAAATTTGTTTATCTCGGAGATGGACCAGTTAATAACCAGGAAGCTGTGCGTGATCAGTGGAATAGCTCGTGAATTTATGGCTCCTGAGTTTATGGCTTCCATTTTGTTTCTGGCACTCAAATCAGTTTTCGGAATCGCTCGTACTCTGTGATAGCATTCTTTCCTTGATTTTTCTCTCTTGATGAGGATTTAATTCCTTTTCTTTCGAAAGGGCGTAAATACTTACAAGGCTCCCTCGGTTTTAATTACCGGTTGATCATCCGATATCTGGGTTAAAGAATGGAAAGGAATACTATATTCTCTTTGCACAAATTCTGATACTAAGTAATCCTTAAGATGTCTCTGTATCTGTCTATATTTCTGAGATGTCCTCATTTTGTTGTCATATTTATCACAACGTTTCGGCCATTGTATGCTCCGCCCTTCTTCAGTATTTGTCTATATTTCTGAGATGAGGTATTATGTACACTATTTACATTATTCGGATTATTGTCATCATTTTGTTGCCATATTTATCACAACGTTTCGGCCATTATATGCTACAGCCTTCTTCAGTATCTGACTATATTTCCGAAATGAGGTATTATATACACTATTAACATTATTCGGAATATTGTCCAAGTCTTTGTTGCCATATTTATTATCACAACGTTTCGGCTGTTGTACGCTCCGGCTTTCTTCAGTATCTGTCTATATTTCTGAGATGATGTATTATGTACACTATTTACATTATTCGGACTATTTTCCTCAACTTTGTTGCCATATTTATCACAACGTTTCGGCCATTGTATTCTCCGGCCTTCTTCAGGTGGTTGGAATGTCGAACTGAACACTTTATTTCGCTCACTGGGGTAGACTCTTCTAGTTCTACGTGCCATGTTTAATGGATGTCAGTTATCAGTTATCTCATGATAATTCACCTCTCGAAGTGGTGAGAAAATTTTTATATGAGCTCTTGTAAAAAAATGCAATGATAAAAGCAAAAATTGCAATATGAGCACTGGTAAAAAACGGTTGCTGAAGACATTAAGTTTATAAATCCCAGAAATTCATACACAGATGTCC